CTGATTGTCTAAGGTATCAATGACTTTTCATCAGTTTCACTGATTTTTGCCTTCCACAGAGTCAGTTGTACACCTTTGCCCTTCAGTGTGCTCCCTGTTTCTGAAATCTTAGTGTTACTCTCTTTGAGTTTCTGTTTGCTCTTTAGGTATCATTTTCAACTGTCTATTCATTTTGTCACTTTATTCTTGTGTTGTTTTCCTGAATTCTTGTAGAGTTTGGTTTGTATTTTCTTTGATTTTTGTCTGTGATTTCCTTAGTTTGACGATCTGTGTTTTCCTTGATGTAATTCTTAATCTTTTGAAAGATCATAAATATAATTATTTTGATTTCTTTATCAGGTAATTTCATTGCCATTTCTTCCTGAGAAAGATTTTATGGCCTTATATTTAGGTCACTTACTTGGGGCATCTTAGTCCTGTTTCTTTGTGAGATTTGACGTTATCTATTGGATTATGAGGAACCCGGGTGTGGTGCTGTGGGTTAATTCACTGGACTACAAAGTCACATTGAACTGCAGAATCAGTGGATAAAGCTCACCAGCTGCTCCTCAGAAACCCTATTCAAGGTCGCTATGGTTCGAAATTGACTTGACAGCACTTAACAGCAACATTGGATTATGAAATGGGCTGCTGACTGCAAGGTAGCAATTCAAATCTACCAGTCTTTCTTCAGAAGAAAGATGAGGCTTTATGCTCCCATAAAGATTTACAGCCTCAGAAACCCTATTACAGGGTTGCTGTGAGTTGGAACCAACTTGATGGCACACAACTACCACCACCACTGTTGTTTCTGAGAGATTGTGGTGTTTTTATATTTATTGAGTGATTGTATGTTGGTTTGCCTTGCCCTAATACTTTATTTTGTGTTGCTTTGATCTATCCAGGTAGGTGAGGTAGCTGAGCTACTCTGAGTATAAGTTTGACGGCACCAGGGTGTTCACCATCTGTATCCAATTGGGGGGGCGGGAGTTATGGGTGGGAGTTTGGCATTGTCTGCACTCAGCTGAAGGGGGCCTTAATGGCCATTGATCTGGGAGTGCAGGAGTGGGTGGTGAGTGTTGGTAAGTGGGGCTGACTAGTGAGAGCACAACCACCACCATCCCCCACATGGTGTCGGGGGCTGTGGGGGGTGGACCGGTGTATGGGCGGCTACATGTTCATCACCCCTTGTCAGACAGGGGCACATGGGAGTGTGTCATGGGCAGGCACGCTTTTGTGCAGTTGTGTTGCTGTGACTGCTATATTTGTGTGCAGTGAGGGAGGGGGCAGTTCAGCTGGGCCTGAGGGGCTAAGTGAGTGGCTGGCACTACATCTGGTGGCCCTCCAGCACTCGGCTGGCAGGCACAGGGTGCCTGGGCTGTGGGGGAATAACGGATGGGCAGTGTGCATGTACGCAACTGAGGAGGCTGCAGTTTGGCAGCACAGGGTCCCTGAGAACGCACACTGCTGGCCACGGCAGTAGCAGGTACGTGGTGTGCAGTCCCAGAGAGAGTGCACCGATGATCACAGAAGCTGCGGATGTGCGGCACGTGACCTGCAGGGAATGCACATCGCTGGCCATTGGGGTCACAGGAAGTGTGGAGTTAGGCATGGGCAGCGGGAGTGTGTCTTCAGCTTCCAGGTAGATAGGGATGGAGGGGACCACACCTCTGGTCACTGGGGGAGTGTGGGGTGGAAGAAGTTGAGCACACTCCTCTAGTCATTGGGCACCAGTGTGGGCACTCTTTTGGACAAGTGCAACCGGCTATCTTGTTCCTGCCCTGACTAAAATGCAAGTGTGGGGGGCTTGCTAGAGTCCAGCATCTTCAGCCTCCATGGGCTCTTCTTTCACATGGTTCCCTGACCCATACTTCCAGGGCCCCATGCAGGTGAGTGGTTCTGTG